GCCCAGGCCCAGAGTTCAGGCCCCATGGCTGGACCAAAAAAAAAAAAAGAATGGAAGGGAGTGGACGCAGAGTCTCTGGATATGCTCAGATGCGCTTCCACTGACATCACATGAGCATGTGTGGAGTCTAAAATGTCCCAGGAAGCATGAATGGAAGGAATACGTATAACAAGTTAATCTTATTAAGAAAAATCTGACTGTTTCTATCTGCTAAATTAATCATCAGATTTTCCTTAGGCTCTTTCCTATTAAAAGAAAATACTTTTAATGGATTTTTACTTTATGTTCATAATTTTATGTGGTTCTTTAGAATTCCAAGAGAACAAATGTACATAAATGCGAAGTGAATTTCTCCTCCCCACTAACCACCAGCTCCTGCTCTACAGTTACATGCATGCATGCAAGCATACATGTGCCTTATGCCTACTGAACTATCATTTGCTTTTCACTCAGTGCTGTTTCAATCCTCTGTTTTCACTCAATACCTAAGTAGTCCTTTCTAATATGGATGTGCCCCAATTCATTCAGTCATTACCTAATATGGACTACTTCTAATTTTTTGCTATTTTAAATGCCACTGCTATGAGTACCCTTACGTACACATCTTTATATCTGCGAGCAATAAACATATGCAGAACTGGGCAGACTTGATAGGATTATTCAGAAAAATCCACACAATTTGCCTCGTGACAAACCAACTTCAGACAGAAGAGTTAAATGTATTATTATTATTATTTTATTTTATTTGTCAATTGTAAGTCTTGAACTCTGGGCCTGGGCATGACCCTGAGCTCTTCAGCTCAAGACTAGAGCTCTGCCACTTGAGCCACAGCACCATTTCCAGTTTTCTGGTGGTTAATTGCAGTTAAGAGTCTCAGGGAGGGCTGGGAAGGTGGCTCAGTGGTAGAGCAATGCCTTGCATGCATGAGGCCCTGGGTTCGATTCCTCAGTACCACATAAGCAAAAAGAATAAAGCCGGAAGTGGCGCTGTGGCTCAAGTGGTAGAGCACTAGCCTTAAGCTGAAGAGCTGAGGGACAGCGCCCAGGCCCAGAGTTCAGGGCCCACGACCGGACCCCCCCCCCAAAAAAAAAAAAGAGTCTCAGGGACTTTCCTTGTCCAGGCTGGCTCTGAATTGTGATCCTCAGATCTTAGCCTCCTGAATAGCTAGGATTACAGGCATGAGCCACCAGGGCCCAGCGATAAAATGTATTTTTAATGAATCAATCACAGAAACACTTGTAAACCATGGGATAAAATATTAACAGCTGCAATGCAAAGGGCAGAAGTGAAGGTGTTTAAATATAAAATACAAAAATATTCACAAAACAGAAAGGATAAAGAATGGGTTAAAGTGTTTGTAAAAATATGAAAAATAAACGATCTCAATAATCCAGCAAAAAAGGGAAATTAAAATATGGTAAAGTTAAAAAAACAGCTACTAAGATCTTAGAAATCGGACAGACACTTGTAAAATATGAAGCCTGGACGAAGACAGACAACTGTTAGAATCCACTAAAATTCCTATGTGTTCTGATTCATTAATTCTACACCTGGAAATGAGTTTTGTGGGGATAGTTCAGAGGGCTGGGGAAGAGGGAACTTTAAACAAAGTTGATTACTGTAGCATTATTAAGAACAAAGAAAATGTGAAACTTGGAGGTCAACAAAAACAAAACAGAAAATAGGCAGCACTACATTGAAGGTAAGCAATCCCACAAAACCATTTTGAAGGTTTTGAAATGCAGAAGACAGAGCTGAGGATGTAGCTCAGTTGTAGAGTACTTTCCTAGCTTTTGGGAGGCCTGGGTTTGATCCCTAGTACTGCAAAAGAAAAGAAAAACAAAACAAAAAACACCAGCAGGCAGTGGAAGCAGTAGGCATTTAAAGTGGTGGATTAAGGAACATCATCTTCAGTTAATGTTTTCTCAATACATAATACTTTTAAATGGCTACACAGCCTGCAAGACAGTAGAAGCCAAGTGTACAATGAAGACCGGAGCACAATGTCCACAATAGAACTGCAATGAAATGCTGCTGTTCATGATTTAACACCAACTGATATCAATGTTGACATCATTAAAACAAACAAACTAAAAAACCTTACTTGAACCATGTTTTCATAACACAGAAATAGGCTACAATCTTAGTGATTCTATATCATTGACATATGCTTTTATTTAATATAAAGACACTTCAGAGCAAAGACACAAAACACTAAATGGAATATAACAAATTCATTTTTGTAATGCTGTATAGATACTTACCAAGTAATAACTGCAGTATATAAAATATAAGTCCAAAGACACTGTTTGGCTGGTTTAATACACCATCTTTTCCAAAAATGGAACCCAAAAGACCAAATCCTCGACCCCATCTGTAAAATAAGGAAAACCAGTAACCCTATATTTGACATTCCCTATGTTTAAAATGTAAAATTAGTTGAGAATGCTATCCAGTTCTAAAATAAGCTAAGTTGCCAAACTTCTTAAGTATCTTTTGTTCAGTGTGATTACTCACACAGGGCTGCCAGTCACTGTATTTCTGTATTTCTAATACAACATACCTAAACATGTCAATGTGCCCATCAGAATCTCTAAGCAGCCTGATTCTCTATCCTCTCTTTTCCAAAACATAACACTATCGGTGTTGGCTGATGAGCCATTCTGAATTGAAGCCAGGGTCTCTTAGTAGTGGCACACTGGCCTTTTGGACTACATTATTCTTTTGTGGCTCTGTATGTTGCCAAGTGTTTAGCACTATCCCTGGCCTCCACCTACTAGGTCCTTGCACTATTTCCCATCTCCAGCTATGACTACCAGAATGTCTTCAGTCTTTGTCAAATATCCCTTGAGGTCAGTTGAAAGCTACATCAGTAGTTGATCCATTCCTTCATTCCAAGTACATAAACTGAAACCTTTCACTAAGCTATGTGTGAGAACACAAGTCCTACATATGTCCTGGTAACATAGGTTAAGACTTCCCCAGAACCTATCTCTAAAGAAAAAAATTGACACACTGGGTGCCGGTAGGTCACGCCTATATTCCTAGCTACTAAGGAAGCTTGGACCTGAAGATCATTGTTCAAAGCCAGCCCAGGCAAGGAAGTCTGTGAGACTCTTATCTCCAATAAACTACCAGAAAACGGGAAGTAGCACTGTGGATTAAGCAGCAGAACACTCTCTAAGAGCTGAGGGACAGTGCCCAGGCCGAGTTCAAGCCCCACAACCTACCAAACAACAACAACCACCACCACCACACAACCCCCCCCCCAAATTGACACTTTATATGACCCCAACAGTATTGAAAGTTGGCCTTCTAATTTTGGATTTAATTTAAGGTTTTTAGAATCTTATTTTGTTACTCTTAAGAAGGGATTATTGGGCTGGGAAGGTGGCTTAGTGGTAGAATGCTTGCCCAGCATGCATGAAGCCCTGGGTTTGATTCCTTAGCGCCACATAAACACAAAAAGCCAGAAGGGGCATTGAGGCTCAAGTGGTAGAGTGCTAGCCTTGTGCAAAAAGAGCTCAGGGACAGTGCCCAGGCCCTGAGATCAAGCCCCAGGACTGGCAAAAAAAAAAAAAGATTATTAAATTCTGATTTTAATAAAACTTGATACAAATATCAAAACAGGGCTGGGAAGTTGGCTCAGTGGTAGAGCGCTTGCCTTGCATGCCTGAGGCTCTGGGTTCGATTCCTCAGCACCACATAAGCAAAAAAGAAAAAAAAAACCTGGAAGTGGCGCTGTGACTCAAGAGGTAGAGCGCTAGCTTTGAGCTAAAGAGCTGAGGGACAGCGCCCAGGCCCAGAGTTCAGGCCCCACGACTGGACCCCCCCCCCAAAAAAAAAAACCACAAAAAAAATCAAAACAACATTTCCTTTGGATAAAAACTATTAAGAGTTTAACTCTGAATTAGAGTGCTTTTTAAATAACAAAAACCAGAAGAAATGCACTCTAGAAAAATCTAGACTTTGGTTCTGAAGACAAATTGCCTAAATACAAGGAAAATAAATTATTTTTATTAGTTACACTGGTTTAATAATTCTCAGGTTCAGAGCTGGGAATGTGACTCAGGGGTAGAGTGCTTGCCTTGCATGCATGAGGCCCTGAGTTCGATTCCTCAGCACCACATAAGCAGAAAAGGCAGGAAGAGTGTTAGCCTTGAGCCAAAGAGCTGAGGGACAGCACCCAGGCCCAGAGTTCAGGCCCCATGCCTGACGGGAAAAAAAAAAAAGAAAAAGAAAAAGAATAATTCCCAAGCTCATGAGAGAATGAAAGACTTTCTTGAGCCAGGTGCTAGTGGCGCCACAAACCCCTACAATCCCAGCTACTCAGGAGGCTGAAATCTGAGGATTACAGTTCAAAACTAACCCAGACAGGAAAGCCTGTGAGACTCTTATCTGCAATTAACCATCAAAAGCCTATGAAGGTGTGGTTCAAGTGGTAGAGCACGAGTCTTGTGTGAAAAACCTAAGGACAGCACCTAAGCTATGAGTTCAAGCCCTAGTACCAGCATACATACAAAAAGAAACCCCCTCATGATGATGATGATGTTGGAGTAAGAATAGCATGTTACAACTAAGAAGAGGTACAAAGGTTTCCAGCTACATTTCGAAGTGTGCAGATACTAGTGCGGACACCTGAGGTCTGCTATGGAGCAAAACAGAGGAGGCACTCCCTGCCTCGTGGAGCTCATGTGTCTAGTTAGGGAAGCAGGAAGCAGACAAACATAGCCAAATTGCCTTTAGAGATGAAGGAGCCTCATGGGTACACAGGAAAAATGGGGTTCTGAAACCTTTAGTCTGCATTCCTCTACCAGCCCTTGCCCACAAAATCCTGGTGACGCTGGTACTTGTGGTCTGAAGACCTCACCGTGAGGCCTGCTGACCCATGTAGAGCAGAGATGGGCAGAGCTCCTGTAACCAGGTGGCCAGAGAAGGACTTTCTCAGGAATTAAACTATAAAACCAAATATTGAATGGTGAAGTGAAGTTGATCTCATGAGAAATGGCAAATACAAAGATCTTCAGTAGGAATGAGGCACAGTGTACAAGACAACACGGGGGCTGACACACCATGATCAGAATGACAGAAGAGGCACATGTCCAATCATCTAAACCACCTAGGGCCTGCTTGAATTTGAATTGAATAGCAATGAGTGATATTTAGGAGTGAGCTTATTTATGTCACCCTGGGTGCTGGTTTAAAGACAACCTACAGCAGAGCAAAGTGAAGAAGGGACAGACTACAGGCAATCAAACTTCCTGACTTATTCAAATTTAGTCACTGCCTCTGCAATGGAAATAATTGGACATATTGCCAGAATTATCCTGGGTAAACAGCCTAGTTCATTCACATGGATATTTTCCTTAAAAACAATGTGATAATTCCCAAAATGAAGAATTATTTTATCAAGTACACATTTGCTTGGGCTGATGGCTCATGCTTGAAATCCTAGCTACATAGGACACAGAGATTTGAGGATTCAGGTTCAAAGCCAGCCTAGGCAGCAAAGTCCACTCTTCTCTCCAATTAACCATCAAAAAGCCAGAAGTGGGAGTGGAGCTGTGGCTCAAGTGGCAGAGCACTAGCCTTGAGCAAAAGCTCAGTGACAGACCCTGAGTTCAAGTGCCACATCAGGTGTGTGTATGGACACACACAAGTGTCCATACTCATTAAGTTTTTAAAATAACACCAAAGTCTTTTGGAGCCAACCAGACTTCCCTATTCAGCCTTCCCTGTGATTGACTCTGACCCCTGGAGACCATTACTTTGCTATTTTCTCACAATTTTTCACTCCATTTACCTCCACGTTCCTAAGTAGTATGTTCCTATTGTCTACTTTTTGGATCAAAATATTATATTTTGAATTTTTAATGTGGTAGGCCAGTGCTACTTTAAAAAATTCCAGAAAGCCTCCCATGCCTATGAACAGACCTCTGTAACAAATCTCCCATGCCATGGTCACCCAGTCCAGTAACCATGCTTGTCTGCTTCACTCACCATTACTTGTATGCCACTCAATGGTGACTTTTAGTTCCTTTTTTGCGGGGGAAAAAGATACAGTGCCATGAAGTACCCCAAGCTGGAACACGCAATCTTCCTGCCTTGTCTCACAAAGAAACAACATATACCTGTTTTTATGTTTGTTTGTTTTTGAGGTATCAGGGTTTATTATTTTTTAGGTTTTAGTTTTTTTCTCAGTTGTGGGGCTTGAACTATGGGCTTGGGCGCTGTTCCTGAGCTCTTCAGCTCAAGGTGAGTGCTCTACTAGTTGAGCCACAGCGCCACTTCTGGTTTTCTAGTGGTTTATTGGAGATAAGAGTCTCATGGACTACCCTGCCCCAGCTGGCTTTTGAACTATGATCCTCAGATCTCAGCCTCCTGAGTAGCTAGAATTACAGGCATGAGCCACCAGTGCCTGGCAGTATCAGAGTTTAAACTCTTGGTTTTGCACTTACTAGACAAGCTCTCTATTTCAATCTCTCTTTTTGCTGTTGTTGTTGTTTTTAAGTGAAATTTACATACATTCAACACACAAATCTTTTTTTTTTTTTTTTGCCAATCCTGGGGCTTGAACTCAAGGCCTAGGCACTGTCCCCGAGCTTCTTTTGCTCAAGGCTAGCACTCTACCACTTGAGCCACAGCATTACTTCTGGCTTTTTTTGTTTATGTGATACTAAGGAATCAAACTCAGGCCTTCATTCATGCTAGGCATGCACTCCACCACTAAGCCATGAATTTTTTTCAATTTATGTCAATAACTCAAAAGCATCACAACAAACAAAAGGAAAGAAGAACTCCTGGATGTGAAAAAAAGGTGCAGAAATCAAATACATTATCGTCTGGGTACTGGTGGCTCACTATAATTCTAATTAGGAGACTGAGATCTTGAGGATCACAGTTCAAAGCCAGCCCAAGCAGAAAAGTCTATGAGGCTCTTATCACCAATAAGCTAAAGGCTGGGAAGGTGGCTCAGTGGTAGAGTCCTTGCCTTCATGTAAGCATGAAGCCCTGGGTTCAATTCCTCAGCACCACATAAACGGTAAAAGCCGGAAGTGGCACTGTGGCTCAAGTGGTAGAGCACTAGCCTTGATCTAAAATCTAAAGAGGTGAGGGACAGCGCAGCACCTAGGCCCAGAGTTCAGGCCTGATGACTGACCAAAAAAAAAAAAAAAAAAGGATAGTAATAAGCTAGCAAAAAGCCAGAACCTGAGGTATGGCTCAAGTGGCAGGATTTCTTGAACCCAAGAGTTTAAGTCCAGCCTGGGCAACACAGTGAGACCTTTTTGCTTTTGTTAGTGTTTTCTTTTAAAAAGGAAAATGGGAAAGGTAAAAACAAAAAGCACATAATTCAATGATATGAACATACCAATCAGAAGACAAAACATGAGCTAGAGGTGAGGCTAGATAGTGCAACACTAGCAAGTGCAAGACCCTGACTTTCATTCCTAGAACCACCAAGAAAAAGATTACCGTACTGTACACTGTTAGGTATGATAATGGTTCTTTTTTAAAAAATAAGTCCCAGCCAGGCGCCGGTGGCTCGCACCTATAATCCTAGCTACCCAGGAAGCTGAGATCTGAGGATCACAGTTCAAAGCCAGCCCAGGCAAGGAAAGTTCCTGAGACTCTTATCTTCAATAAGCCACTCAGAAAACTGGAAATGGCACTGTGGCTCAAGTGGTAGAGCGCT